TACAAGGGCCCTCCAATGCCTTTACCAGTTCCCTCCGGTGCCCTTACCAGTGCCCTTACCCCCACCCTCCAGCGCCCTTACAGGGGCCCTCCAATGCCTTTACCAGTTCCCTCCGGTGCCCTTACCAGTGGTTCGACCCGTCGCTCGGTGGGTTTCGTCAACCTGCGCGCCTGGCACTGGGTGACCCCTTTGAACTTCAGCGCCCTGGGGTTGATCGGGGCGGTGAGTGGGGCGTACGAGTAGAGTCGGGCCTTGAGCTTCTCCTGCTTGCTCATCGTCATCACCTGCCCAGGCAGGGTCAAGGGCGGCAGCAGTGATCTTGGCAAGTCACCTAGGTAACTTTCCTTCCGGGCCATGACTGTCGACGTCTATCTGGCAGAGTCTGGAAGACAGGCGAAATATACATTGAACGTCTCCTCCATACGGTCAACTGGCATGACAAAGCCGCAGAGCTCGAGTTAACCAATAATTAAACAACCCCAAAACATAGAGGTTTTTCTTATAAATACTTTACAAAATGTGATATCGAGCAATCGGGGGGTGGGGATGAAAATTTGTCAAAGCAAGCATAAAAGCAACGCATTTTATAAGAATCTCAATTACTGCCCGTCCCCTCCCCCCCCCCCCCCCCAGGCTCGCAACCGCATATGTTTCCCGCCCCTTAACAATATTAATATTCTTTTGAATACGTCATTAACGTTTATGTACTTTGCAACATATATTTTTCATTTATGTACGTTGCAACATATATTTTTCATTTATGTACGTTGCAACATACATTTTTCATTTATCTTATTTTCAATGTATATTTTTTTAACGTATCTGCTTTTCAACGTAAATTTTTCATTTATCTAATTTCCACTATTTTATCTCATTTTCAACGTATATTTTTTCATTTATCATAATGAATATTATTTTTCATTGCCATAATTTGATCTTCGGAACACTCACAGTAAACTGTTTTCAATGTTGATTTCGATATAGTATGTTGAACGATTGCCACAAATTACTTACTTATTTATAAACAAAAAAAAAAAAGGACGTCAGAACAAACTTAAACGGGGTGCTTTTAAATAAGGCAACGTGATCAAGGCACAGAGATATTAGCGTAAACAATGCGCCATGACGCGTTGCTAAGGAAGTGCAGAGTTCGGTGACGTCTAGCAGCGAGGCTTTTGGTACCGACAAGAAGCTGATTCCTCACCCAGAAGAGGTAGGTAAACAATGCGCAACAACTTGCAAGGTATGAAATGGACTGAAAGGTTCAGGAGCCCACCAACCAGGGGAGGGTTGTGTGCGGCAGTGTAGAACGGCAGCATTCCCGATTAGCCATCAAAACGTATCAATTACATTTTAATTAACGAGTAACCACTGGAAAAACGAGTAAACTTTTCTCACAAGCTGAATAGCATAATTTATAAGATGTAATGGAGGAAATTATTTTTTAAATAAAATATTTAATTACATTTTTAATGAGCCCTTTGTGTCCGTAAATTAACATAACGTTGTTTTTTTTAAAGGCAATCCGTGTCAGGGGATAGATTCATATAGATTCATATAGATTCATATAGATTCATATAGATTCATACCTTCATACAGATTCTTTCAGGACGACCCCATTGAGTCGATGCATCCACTGCTTCTGACGGCACTGTCTGAAGATCTATGTTATGATTCCTGAGATACGTGTCTGTTTGCCTATCCACTGCTTCTGACGGCACTGTCTGAAGATCTATGTTATGATTCCTGAGATACGTGTCTGTTTTCCTATCCACTGCTTCTGACGGCACTGTCTGAAGATCTATGTTATGATTCCTGAGATACGTGTCTGTTTGCCTATCCACTGCTTCTGACGGCACTGTCTGAAGATCTATGTTATGATTGCTGAGATACGTGTCTGTTTGCCTATCCACTGCTTCTGACGGCACTGTCTGAAGATCTATGTTATGATTCCTGAGATACGTGTCTGTTTGCCTCCGGGTCTCCTTGGGTCTTCCGTGGGTTGTTTTTTTTTCTTTTTTCACTCCAGCTGTCCATTTCAGTGCAGTGCCGGAAAGTAAACCTGCTGACACGCTATAAACATTACCAGGCCATCTCCAGCTACACACTTGTACTCACCAGGCCAACTCCAGCTAAAATAGCATGGACACAAGCCTTATTACAGTGTTAAATCGATCAATCAATGTCCAGCGACACACTAGTGCACACCAGGCCATCTCCTGCGACACAACTGTACACACCAGGCCATCTCTCGCTTCACACGTGTACACACCAGGCCATCTCCAGCTACACACTTGTACACACCAGGCCACCCCCCCCAGTGACACACTTGTACACACCAGGCCATCGCCAGCCAAACCATTGTACACATTTCTCCATCGGCGTCTCCATCATGCACTGGGTTGTGTTTGACCAATAAAGATTCCACGAATCCTACCTAGGCATCTGCCACGGATGTTATGTTGATTCCTGAATGTATGGATACATATCTTTTCCAGAAAGGTAAACATTAACCCAGTCAAAGGCAGGGGCTCTTAAACCTTTTTGCTTTGACGCACCCCATTCTGGCTTTCTAAATACATCCCACGGACCCCCGGATAAAAATCGTTTGCTTGGTTAATGAAATGGGCACCTACATAGATGTCGCCTCTCATTAAACTGCAAAATACTTAATTTAAAAAATAATATCCAAACTTCAGAGGACTGTAATAATAGATATTTTAAAAAAAAATGTTTACATTTTCTGTACTTTTTACGTCATTTTATAAACAAATATATTCCAAATTACGCCCTTGTGACCCTTGTCCATAAAATGTTGGGTAATGATAAAAATTCTAAGTTGACTTTGTATCATTTATATATTTGATTTTTACTTATCTGTTATGTCGGATTCCTTCTCCCCCACCCCCACCCCCCAGTTTTTTTTCAGTTTCTTTTATTTGCTTTTTCTTAAAAAATGGCTGGGTCTTCCGGCACCACTCCCACAAAGCCCCCCACTCCCCCAGAGCGCCCGGGCACCCCTGGTTAAGAACCGCTGTGGTAGATATTACAAATATAACATAAGCAGTTTATGAGGGTGTATTTTAATTACGACACAGAGTGAGTGTGTGTGTGTGTGTGTGAGAGAGAGAGAGAGAGAGAGAGAGAGAGAGAGAAAGTGAGAAAGGGGTAGATAATAAGAGAGAGAATGCGAGAGAGAGTGAGAGAGAGATAGAATGAGACGGAACGAAAATGAGAGAGAGAATCAGAGAGGGACAGCATAATAAGACAAACGGGAAAGCCTTAACGCCACCCAGTGTTGCATGTGCGGTCATTTTAGTTCAAATCGTCTCGGACAGCCGACTTAAATTTCACCAGAGAAGCCTCTAGGCACGTGCACTTAATTATGCTCTCTAGGAACGTACGATGGCATAAATATGTAACTTTTTTAGAGTTATATATATTTTTTTTTAAAAGATGCATGTTGACACAATTTCAGCTGTTGTGTGCCGTGGGCTGACAAGGTTTGAACTAGAAAATTCGGACTATGGCTCGAGTCGGCTGTCACGTTTCTCTGCTGCCCCCTGGCATGATTTGTCTGCTGCCTCCTGGCATGATTTTTCTGCTGCCCCTGGCATGATTTTTCTGCTACCCCCTGGCATGATTTTTCTGCTGCCCCTGGCATGATTTTTCTGCTGCCCCCTGCTGCTGCCCCTGGCATGATTTTCTGCTGCCCCCTGGCATGATTTTTCTGCTGCCCCCGGCATGATTTGTCTGCTGCCCCCTGGCATGATTTTTCTGCTGCCCCCTGGAATGATTTTTCTGCTGCCCTTCTGGCAAGTTTTTTCTGCTGCCCCCCTGGCATGACTTGTCTGCTTCCCCCATGGAAAATTTGTCTGCTGCCGCGTGTCATTTGTTTTAGTGTAAATAAAAATTACGCTGAAATCAAGAGAGATGCGCAATAAATGATATGACAGCGACAACAGGAGTACTTTTATTGAGAACCCTTGGCCTGAGGGTTTTTTTTATTTTTTTATTTTTTAGAATGACTGGTGAAATATTTGCTCTGATTTTTTTTCCCAGACTATTTTTCTCCCAGACATAATTATGTTGCGTCGTGGCGTCCTGTCTGTCTAATGGTTGTGTGCTATTACCGTCTCAATTTAATCACGGGATGGGATGAATCATCACAGGCACGAGGCGGCACTCAAAGGGACGCTTCGGAAATCAGCGCGGTAAGGCGAGTCCTGGAGCAAGCGAACGGAAAGGAGAATTATGTTTATGTTCTTCTATATTTCACTCTTTCGTAGTGTATGTTCATACAGAAAAAAAAATATGGCAGCCTGTGCATGTGGTCACGCGCTTGTTTGTGTATGTGGGTCTGTTTGACATTGCATACCAGAAAATGGTTAATTCTTTGGGTTTTCCCACAGAGAAAAAAAAACAACAACAAATAATGTCAGAAAGTAAAATAACATAGACCATATAATTTTCGTTGACTAAAAAAATTTATCATTTCCAAACATCTTTGAAATAATCTTTTATTGAAGGCAAATTTTTAAAGCAGGGAAAAAAAGGGGGGGGGGGGGTACTTTGCCTTAAGACATTTTATTTCTATATTATTATTATTTTTTAAACTTTAGCCATTAAGATCGACCCTGACATAGTTTTCCCACTCTCAAGTTTCACCGGCTTCCGCCTGTGGCCTGTTATTTCATAGAATTACTCTCACTGATAACCTAGTCCCCTGTGCAAACATTTCTTTCATTTACTGAAAATTGTCTTGTTAGCAAATAACCCTTGTCTTAGACCATACCTCCCCTCCTCTTTCCTCCAGTCTCATCACCCCCCCCTCTCCCTCCCTTGATCCCTCCTCTGTCGTTTGCCCGTTCACGGGTCTTTTAGTTTAGTCTGCGGCTCAGAGAGACACGTTTATCATTTATTAAGCAGAGCTGCCTCGTCCTGGACATTTAAGGGGGGTCGGGGGGGGGGTAAAAGGGGGTAGGTTGGGGGGTGTTGGCGCGCTCACCATGGCGTCAGGCCATGATCTCAGTCACTCACCTCCAGTGCCACGCCGGGGGAATTTTACAGCTGACATGGACATGTGCTGGACACTGGTTGTGTCCGTCATCTTCCTGGTTGCCATCGGCTGCTCCTACTCGTCGTGTGAGTAATATTTGTTGTGTATAACTTTATGTGATTTCCTATTATATATATTATACGACAATCAACCGATCTCAGTTTTTTCCAATACTTTTTTTACATGATCTTGAACCCGTTATATCTAAATACTTTGCAAGTGCCGATAATTAATTTGTTAAAAAAATTCCACGTGTCCAGATGGTAAATAATTCTAAATTTTAGAACGCTGTGCCATTATGGTGGCGTCCCATTTTAGCCAAGAACCTAACACGTGTTCAGATCCTGGTGGATGTGCTCATTTAAGTCCATCATTTAAATAGTTTGTTGTTAGTATATAGCTCAAAATAATTTGTGAACCTTGAGTGACACCTTCCATTAAGCCTTAAGAAATATATATATGTGTGTGTGTGTGTGTGTGTACCGGAATTTAAAAAAAAATATTTTTTTATTTAAATCTCTGACTGTTCATTACTAGTCTTTGTAATACTAAGTTTAATAATCCGGTGTTGATATTGAAGATCGAATTTCACCACTTCATATAGCCTACTAACAAGAGGTTAAACCAGACAAAATGTAAGTCAATCGGGATCCAAGGCTAATTCAAGTTTAAGAACCGCTGCCATAACTCGCTGTAACTCTCTGTAATACGATGCACAATAGTGCATTTAAAGAGTGATCTGAAAGCAGCAAGAGTGCAATCGCTCTTTTTTTTTTATTTTCTACGCACGTGGTGTTGTTATTATGTCTGTCTGTGTGTGTTCATTCCAGCGTGTGTCTTTGCGGTGACAATACATTATGGCGTCTTTTTTGAAGCAACATGACACGTCGGTGGTACAACCAGTTAAATTTTTACGCGACCATGTTGTTCGTCCGTCGAGGATCGACGATGACCATCGAGTCGTCCGGTGACTGATGACTTGCGCTATTGATTTTTGTTTAAAGTGAAGAAGAGTTGCGCGGCGTCAACCTCACTCTCTCGTCCGAGCCCACCATATCCAGTGGCAAGACTCTAAGTCAAGACGACCAGGGATGGGTACGGTTGCAGGAATTGTCATTGTTTGCGCCTTACGGGACTCCAACTCCGGGTTTGAATTCAGAGTTTCCTTCTCTTAGATGAGTTGCCGACCAAGGTTAACGAGTCTCATCCACCCGGGGTGATGGTTTTGTTTGACCGGCCTTTGGCTGGAATTGAGATTTTCTCAGTTTCGACCATTCGGCCACCCAGGCACCCATGCAGTGAGTGACCATGGCGTTCTACGTGTCTGGCCATGTTCTCAGCGATTCACACCACTGTGCTGTCTCCGCCTTTTGTCCGTTGACCAACTAGTGGTTCTTCCGTACAATTTGCCGGATCCAGACTTTACATGCTATGGGGACAACCCCTTTTTTCCGAAAGTTATATCCTCAACCTGAAATCGTTGTCAGGGTTGTGGTCGCTGTGCATGTTACAGCTTCTTGGAACCACAGGTGAGAGCTGAGTACAGAGATTTCCGAACAAGATGGCTCCTTCCTATTCAGCCTAACAGTAGATCTATATTGTAGTTGTATTTAGAAGGAGAAATACGTTGATAACAGCATACATTCTGATCCTGAATGAAACCGCAAAACAATTAAAGCTAATTAAAAGTTCGATTTTTCTTGCGCCGAAGCCAATTTCAAATAATCATTTTTAACTATCTCCCTTGCTTTACTGAAGCGCCTACACACTGAGATTCCTTCCTTTTGTGTATTATTATACCGCCATCTTGTTGTACCGGAAGTTATACGCGACCATATTGCCGTTATGAATCACTTCTTTGCCGAGTGGCCGGTCAGTCAATCGTGCAGTCAGGTGCCGTCACACTTCAAAGACCTTCAGATTAACCGTGACCACAGTGCCCTGGGGCCTCTGAGCGTACGCACGGCTATTACGTCAGTCAGTGGAAAATAGCATGGAGACGCACATTTCTATTAATAGTAAGCACAACACGTGGGCACACGGTTTCAACTTCAAGATGAAGTAAAATATAATATTTAAAAAAAATGAAAATTCCCGATAACTTCACTAAATGAGATTCTTGGTGCGCAATGTTTTTTTTGCCTTACGGAAATGGTCAAAATTTAGATATGATGTAATGAATCTGCGTTGTTAAAAAAAAAAGTGTGTGTGTTGACATTAGAATATAAATCTAGTTCAGGGGCGGAAAAAATAAGTTTTCGGGTGGTTTCATGGAGAGTGTGGAAGAAAAAAAAGGGGGGGGGGAAGGAGGTGCACTAATTGGGATTCTTATAAAGTGCGTTACTTGAATACTGTTTCGTCAAGTAACTTTTAGTAGATGGGAAGTTTATTTGGTGGGATATAAGTAGTAAATATATAAAAATAAATTAGTAAAGATTTACGGCTTTATCTAAAGGCACTAAACGAAATAATTAATGGCGCGCCAAAGCAGAGCACGCTCCCATGGATCAAGCTAGAGCAGCGGTTCTCAACCTGTGGGTCACGACCCCTTTTGGGAGTCGAAATACCCTTTCACATGGGTCGCCTGAGACCATCGGGAAACACATATAATCCACAGTTATGTGGTAGCAACGAAAATAATTTTGTGGTTTGGGAGGTCACCACAACATGAGGATCTGTATCAAAGGGTCGCGGCATTAGGAAGGTTGAGAACCACTGGGCTAGAGGATACCCGGTAGGAAATTTTTAGATAAACCGTCTGGCCTCCTCAACGATCAGCAACATGGATGCCAACTTATCCATAAGCTCAACAATTACCTTAGCCGTTTTCATTCGCAGGATAGCTAGCATCATAGTCCTCTGCAATATGCGCCTCGTTTTAGAAGCGTTAAACTTATCAATGGCGTTACAGACATGTTTGAACACAAAAAAAGCTAATACTTTTTCGAGACTGTTGATTTCTTTTTTTTAAAAAATATTTATTCATTTTACATAGGGACTTGACAGGAGTTAGTTTTCTGTCTAAAAAACAATTAGTAATCGTAAAAACTCAAGCGTTATAAATATTTATGAATGTCTATATCTCCCCCCCCCACCCCCACCTCCCTTCCCCACAAACAGTCCATTGAGTAAGTTTTCTGTCTACAAAAACAGTTAGTTTTCGTAAAAACTCAAGCGCTATAAATATGTTATGAATGTCTATATCTCTCCCCCCCCACCCCCACCCCCACGCCCACAAACAGCCCATTGAGTAAGTTTTCTGTCTATAAAAGCAATGATCGTAAAAGCTCAAGCGTTATAAATTGCCCACAAGCAGCCCATTGAGTAAGTTTTCTGTCTATAAAAGCAATGATCGTAAAAGCTCAAGCGTTATAAATATGTTAGAATGTCTATATCTCTCCCCCCCCCCAACCCCCAACTCCACAAACAGCCCATTGAGTTAGTTTTCTGTCTATAAAAGCAATGATCGTTAAAACTCAAGCGTTATAAATATTTTATGCTTGTTTATATCTTCCCTCCCCCCACGCCCCCCCCACCCCACATCCAGACCATTACAACTGTGAGAAGGGCGTCTACGAAACGCTGTACAGGATAACTGAGGCATGCCGGGAAACGTCGTACGCCCCGAACCTGAAGACCTTCAGAAAAAACGAGCAGAGGATATCGGGGCAGACGATAGTGGAGATGTTTGAGGTATGACTTCTGGGAGCCGCGTTAATCAGGCAGAAAAAAAAAAATGTGTAGCACTTTTCATCAAACTAGATTTTGAAGAATCACGTTCAACTTTCGTTGATCTCCTAGATACATAAGATATATTTCGGGGTCTTTTCAGAGCCGTCACGTGGCTCCTACAACCTCTGCAGGGGGGGGCCACTGGTACTTTAAGGGGCCCAAGAGGTGGTGTAAATAACTATGTAAAAAATAAAAATCATTAAAAAGTTATATTTACTTTGAATAACGGGGATGAGCTGATATACGTGTATCTCTTTAAAACATTGACATATTCTTTGTTACAATATGGATTTCATTTATTAATGGAATACATTTGATTTAAATTAGAAACTTTAAAAACAAAAATTGCGCACTTTTCATTATATTGGTTATATAATTTGAAGAAAAACAAAAACTGTCACGCTAGGCTTTGAAACATTGCGATATATTTAATTTTGCTGTCATCATACTCAGGTCTGCTAATTAAAAAAAAAAAATTGAAATGAAAATCTAGTAAGAAGTAAACAAAAATTGTTTCCCTTCCTTCTTTCAATTCTGCAGAACTACTGCGGCGTCGCCGAGAAGATACACAAATGTGGCCAGGACATGGTGGACTTCATACCTTGCCTGGTTGGACAGCAGGAGAACTACGACACCATGGTCGCCCGCTCCCACTGGTTCTGCGACGGCGTCGGCGTCAGGGAAGGCATCAAGAGCACGTTCGCCAACCTGTCAACCGAAGAGCTGGATTACAGGCTGAACGCCTGCTACAGGGAAGCCCCCGGGAAGACGTATCACTGCGTGCGCAGGTCCCTGGGGGTGGCGGGGAAACGGCCGGAGAGAAAAGAGTCGATGAAGAGGATCCTCGCGTCGTTCCGCTGCTCGTTCCGGAAGCTGTCGAGAGACTGCCCACGCGACACGGCCTTCCTGTTGACGACCATGGAATACGATTGGCTGATTATCCCCCCTGCTTTAGGTTTCAACATCTCCGATGTTCTCTTCACGGCATCAAACATCAAATTGCCTGCAAGATGAACTAAAGCGATTCTTCCACAAGTCAACAATATCATTTCAGATGTACTATTTTTATAAAAGGATATATAAAAATTTTACCATATGGGTACTTTTTTTTTTTTCAATCTAAAAAGTGATATGACGTTGAGTAAAGTTTCGGTGTAATTGCTTGCTATTTGAAGGTGGTATGTTCCAAACTTTTTGTTTTACTGGATGCAGCGTCTCTTCGTAACGTATTTTAAACATTTTTTTATTATCGCTTATTGTTGTCAACATTTCTGGGTCAACATTTCTCTCACTCTCCGGGCCAACATTTCTCTCAACCTCTGGGCCAACATCTCTCTCTCTCTCTGGGCCAACATTTCTTTCAATCTCTGGGCCAACATTTCTTTTAACATCTGAGCAAAAATTTCTTTCAATCTTTGAGCCAACATTTCTCTCAATCTCTGGGCCAACATTTCTCTTAATGTCTATTCCAACATTTCTTTCAATCTTTGGGCCAACATTTCTCTCAATCTCTGGGCCAACATTTCTCTCAATGTCTATTCCAACATTTCTTTCAATCTTTGGGCCAACATTTCTCTCAATCTCTGGGCCAACATTTCTTTCAATATCTGAGCCAACATTTCTTTCAATCTTCGGGCCAACATTTCTCTCAATCTCTGGGCCAACATTTCTCTCACTCTCTGGGCAAACATTTCTCTTAATGTCTATTCCAACATTTCTTTCAATATCTGGGCCAACACTTCTTTCAATCTTTGGGCCATTATCTGTCCCTGTCTCTGGTTTCCGCTAATTCTACTGGCTGGGTCTGAAAAGCCGTACACTACGGGAGATGTTATAAAATGCATCACATCTCTTTTAATGAAACAATTCATTGTGCGGTATTGTAAGTAAAGACGGCGTAACGATAACCTATTGACAGTATATTGACACGCTTTGTATGTCTGAAGGTGTTAAGAGCAGCCATGCGAAGCCGGCCCCCACCCTTTCCATTACCTCATGTATTTAAATTGCCCGTTTCATTTCAGTGAGCAGACATTAAAACAAGACAGTTTCATTAATTCAATTATTTAAAACTGTGGCTGTGTGTGTGTGCGTTTGTGTGTGTGTGTGTGTTTGTGTGTGTGTGTGTGTGTGTTTTGTGTTCGTGTGTATGTGTTTGTGTGTGTTTTGTGTGAGTTTGTGTGTGTATGTGTGAGTGTGTGTGTGTGTGTGTTTAAAACTTGAAAAGCTGGTGAACAATGAAACTCAATTGAAATCTACGGCATGCTCCAAGATGAAAAGCCTCCAAAATTGTGTTGAAGGTTTTTTTATTAGTAAAACAACACTTTGTAGAACCTTGTCCTGTGTGGCTAACAGCTTTATTGTCCCGGGACCTGCGTCGAGAGAGAGAGAGAGAGAGACAGAGAGAGAGAGAGAGAGACAGAGAGAGACAGAGAGAGAGAGAGAGAGACAGAGAGAGAGACAGAGAGAGGAACACCAACTCCGACGGCAGCTACTTGGTTGAGTGACAGGACAAGCCGCTCTTACAGACTCAAGTGGTTGACTGCCAGGCACCAGGTAGTACCTGTTGCTAGGTTACCGGCGAACGCTGAGATATTTTTTTTCTTCTTTTTGCTTACATACAACTAGAAAATATACCCGGCGTCGCCCGGGATTGCATTAATATTGCATATTCCAGCTGGTCCTATTGAAAACATGATTGAAAGTATACTCTTATTTTCAAAAGGTGTCCTATTAAAAAAAAACTATTCACCATTGTCCAAGCTATAGCCGATGATTAATTGAAGTTTTAAAAAAAATGTATCCGAAAGGCCTCATGTTCCCCGGTGTGATCCCGTTCCTTCGTAGAAGAATTTGAATCTTCTAGAAAAACATGGAACTGCGGTTCTCAACCTGTGGGTCACGACTACCTTGAGGGTCGAATGACCCTTATACAGGGATCGCCTAAGACCATCGGAAAACACATATTTCTTAAGTAGTATTAAACGAAAATAATTAATATTATTATTTTTCCGCCACAGGCAGCATCAGCCTAGCAGCTGCGCCGCTGATTCACCAATATTTGCACATTAATTACTTTAATGAAATTCAGTCATTCATTAAGACTTCGTTGACCGCCATTATGATCCCTTTTCATTCTCGTGAGACGAAACGGGACATTGGATATTAGTAATCATATTATTTCATTCTCGTGGGGCGAGGCGGGACATTGTCTGGATCACGTTTCATTCTCGTGGGACGAGATGGGACATTGTCTGGATCATGTTTCAAAGGTTTTTGCTAAATCCGATTATCCCCGTTGAGATATGGATAATAATCAATACATAAATCAATAACTCAAACGTATCGACCTCTAGCATATTTATTTTTAATAATTTTATTTCCAGATTCAAAACCTATGATATGCACTTAATAGATCAATGAATGTTTTGTTTTTTTTAATGTGTATATATTAAAATATTTAATTAGAGAAAAGAGAAGACGTTTTCAAAATGTCCTCGTGAATAGAATCAATGGGTAGTAGTCGTAACTAAAACGTCAGACCAGTGCTTGGAATCAATGGGTAGTGGTCGTAGCTAAACCATAAGACCTGTGCTTGGCATCCACGACTAGGAGACGTAGCTAAACCACAACACCCGAGCCTCGTTACTCACAGTCCAGCCCCAATTTTCAATCACAACGCTGAATGAGCTCACAGTGACTTTACTTGTGTTGCAGTGGATTCTTAGATTGTTATCCCAGTTAACATCCAGTGTCGGAAATGAACAATGGACGCGGGGGGCTGCCTTGTAAGGGACCTTAAAACGAACTGTCCTTGCCACCTGCGGCCGGCCATTAACATTTACGAAGTCCTTATGAAAGCATCTTACCTCCCCCGTTTCCATGTGTCGCTCTTGAACTCCTCTCAGAGTATTCTCAATCACTGGTACGCCAAGGTTGACATTGCTAGTAATTGTGTCGATTTTTTGCAGTGTGGCTTTTTCAGAAGCTGAATTTTTTATCAATTAGTTCTTTTTGGACTTTCTTTTGAACCGGATCAATTTTCTGTAATGTAGCTCGTTCCACTGCATCAATTTTGTGTAATGTAGCTTTTTCAACTGCATCAAATTTTAGGAATGTAGCCTTTTCAACAGTATCAATTGTTTGTAATGTTGCTTTCTTAACTGCATCAAATATTTTGGTAGGTAGCCTGTTCAGAAGCAGAGATTTTTTTTCTAACAGGTCCGTCTTGACGTAGCGTTCCACCGCCTCACTCCCGCTCGGCGTCGCCTTCTCCAAAGCAGACAATTTACCCATGAGCAGCTCCTTGTCTGGGACCATGTAGCTAACGCTTTGCGTCGCCTTCTTTCGTGGCCGATGTCGTTCTAATTTGACATTCGTAGACCGCCGCTTGTCGCTCTCCAGGGGATTGCCACTCGACGTTCAGGTACGCGTGCCCGTCGGTGGTGTTAGAGTAGAAACCTCCGGACACTTGAACGACGCCAAGATCAGCTTTGGCCAACGACGCCAAGATCAGCTTTGGCCGTGGCATATTCAAACGCTGTTATCAATGCGACGGTTTCGCTTTGTTTCGGTTTGGTTGGCCCTATAGATGAATGAATCGTTTTAAAAAAGAAAAGAAATTGCTGTAAAGAAATAAGGGGAAAAATATTGTACGTTAACTTATGTTGTTTTTTTCAATAGCATATATTTATTACAATGAAGTCTGGAAAAGATTTATACCGGTAAACATTGAACATTTTAAGATATTAGAAAATATACAGCCAATGTGTACAGTTTTAATGCTAGCATGATAAGCTTAGGAGATAAAAACAATGTCACAAAACTGAATAAGATATATTTTGTTTAATCATCGGACATGATGTTCCCCTACATCAAGATGTACATGTTCAGGCATGATGTTAACCTACATCAAGATGTACATGTTCAGGCATGATGTTCGCCCACATCAAGATGTACATGTTCAGGCATGATGTTCACCTACATCAAGATGTACATGTTCAGGCATGATGTTCACCCACATCAAGATGTACATGTTCAGGCATGATGTTCACCTACATCAAGATGTACATGTTCAGGCATGATGTTTACCTACATCAAGATGTACATGTTCAGGCATGATGTTAACCTACATCAAGATGTACATGTTCAGCCATGATGTTCACCCACATCAAGATGTACATGTTCAGGCATGATGTTCACCTACATCAAGATGTACATGTTCAGGCATGATGTTTACCTACATCAAGATGTACATGTTCAGGCATGATGTTTACCTACATCAAGATGTACATGTTCAGGCATGATGTTAACCTACATCAAGATGTACATGTTCAGGCATGATGTTCACCTACATCAAGATGTACATGTTCAGGCATGATGTTCACCCACATCAAGATGTACATGTTCAGGCATGATGTTTACCTAAATCAAGATATACATGATCAGGCATGATGTTCACCTAAATCAAGATGTACATGTTCAGTATCTGTCAAGTCAGTTATAAACATCAAAACATAAAATAGGTGCATAATTGCTTTATCACCTTTATTTCAAAGTTATAAGGACGTTAATAATTGTAGATGTTCCGGCTATCGGTTCTAAAAACTATAATAGGCTATAAAATCTTCATAAAAATCGAAATAATTAATTTTAAAAAATCTTTTGAAAGAACAAATAAAATTCAGAGGTTTGATAAATATAATTGTTTATATAGTATTACTATATTTAGATAGTCGCGAATTATTAGTAATAAGTGGTATCGAATTGAGCTTTTTTTTTTTGACAATTCTAAAAATATGTAAAGTAACAACTGTCGCTTTAGATTTTTAAAAAAATATATAATTTCAAGCTTTCCGCAAAGTACTGAAAAAAATGGGAAAGGGCTGGAAAATCTCCTAACCTGTATATAACTGGTTTGTCAAAAGATCCGACATTAAAATCCCTACTTTCAGTGTGCGTTTTTTGCCAATTTGCATACGTTAGCCACGGTAAGGTCAAATCTCGTACAGTTAATCTTGTGACAACACGCTGTTTGGTCGTGGTTTCAGAAACACACACCGAGGCAGAAGAATGATATCTCTCAAGACTTAATTCCTGGCCAAAGCGGCATGGCTTACGCTTTCGGCAGGGAAAAAGCTAAACTTTTGGCCGTCAGAAAGCCTTGCGCAAATATCCAACATAACCTTGAACAGGTTTTGCGACATTTCAAATTAAACCAAAAAGAAAAAAAAAGAAAAACTTTTTTTTTTTTTTTTTTTTTTTTACTACTGGTGGTGAGTTAGCTCAATTGACAGAGACAGCACTATTTCAAAATCTCAATAGTAAATTAATCGAACTGTAAGCTACCTCGTGTGATAAAAATAGTTTGAACTTCTTGATCTGATTCGTCCGGTTCACTGTCCTAGTTATAATAATGTGAATTTAAGAAATCAAATTTTTTGCATTATTCGACATCTTCAAATTAAACCAAAAAGAAAAAAAAAGAAAAACTTTTTTTTTTTTTTTTTTTTTTTACTACTGGTGGTGAGTTAGCTCAATTGACAGAGACAGCACTTTTTCAAAATCTGAATAGTAAATTAATCGAACTGTA